AATCCAATTTAATGGTACCGAAGCGTATACGGTAGGTGGTGTTAAATTAAACGACGGAAACAACCATCTGATCCAAGTTATCAGGAACGTGACGTTGGTCCAAGTTAAGATCAACGGCACCGAATACTTTCGCAAGACCATTAGCGCTTCGGGACAATTAAACGTTACTGTACTTTATTTGGGAGGTCTACCACAAGCATCCAGATATATACGACAAGTCGACAGTCGTCAAATGGAAATTCAACAAGTGCCGCAAATTAATTTCAAAGGAATCATACAGGATGTACAGATATCTAATGGCAACGAGATCATGGTTGTGGAATTTTTCCCTTTAAAGGTATCTCTTATTTTTGTCTAATCATTTATGGAATCATTTATGGAAAGGAATATTATTCTAAAATAATAAATCATTCATTTCTATTCATTCATTTGTATACAAAGGCAAAAGATATACCGACACCGACGCAATTCGGCAACGTTACCTTCGACCATGACAAAGTGCTAGAAGGAGTTTTATCCGACAACGTGTGTATTAGCAATCCCTGTAACCACAGTGGTACTTGTCACGTTACCTGGAACGATTTCTGGTGTCAATGTCCCCGCGGTTATACCGGCAAAACTTGCCAAGAAATGGAATTTTGTCAACTACAAGATTGCCCAGCTGGTTCCAAGTGTCAGAATCTCGACGACGGTTATGAGTGTATCGCTAATGCTACATTCGATGGCAACGCTACTTCATTCACTTATGTTTACGGTCGAATGGAAATGGAAGAAAGAAACGAATCAGACACTACTATCGATACTATTCGAATAACATATCGATCGAATACCGGTGGCACTTTGATGCACATGGCACCTCACCTAGGTGATCAACACTTTACAGTGTCCGTTTATAAAGACAAAATTACTGTTTCTTGGCTATTAGATGATCAGAATTATGGTATCTTGAGTTTTGGTAAAAATGAACCCGATGGAAATTGGACGTCCATAATATTACGACTAAATAACAATTCCATGGAGTGCACTTATGAAAACAACAACGACGAAAACGCACCGCAAGTTAGTCCAAATTTTAGCTTTGCACTATGGTATAAATTGTTGTTCAACGGTACAGTAACTTTAGGTGGATTAGGTAACACTTTTTCTACTCGAAATGCCTATTTTACCCTGAAGAATAATAATCAAGCTACAAACAGGAAAGCTATTAAACAAAATATTGTTGATTACGTTCTTACTACTGAAACGCCACTTCATGAAATGGCGATATCAGGTATTTTCCTACAATTATAGTATATTCCTACAATTACTACTATAATAATTAATTATTATATAAACAAATATTATAGAGCTCATAATTACTTATATCCTCTTATAGGAGAAGAAGCATTTAAAGGTTGCCTGGGCGAAGTGAGAATCGGTAGCATGTTATTGCATTATTTTACTAACGAAGAGGTATATCAAAACGCTAACTTTACACCTTTTGAATATTTATCTCTACAAAATCATAATTTGAGTAACAATATCGGTTGCCAATTATGTTTCGATCGTATCGATTGTATGAATGATGGTCACTGTCGTGACAAAGAAAATAGTTATGCATGCGAATGCCTAGCAGGCTATGCAGAAGATGATTGTTCTACCAATATCGACGAATGTATCGACAATAAATGCCAAAACAATGCAACTTGCGTCGATGAGATTGCTAATTATAGTTGTATTTGTAACAATGGCTGGCAAGGTCGGTTGTAAGTATACCCCACCCCTACATGCATACAGCATATTAATACTTATACCTAGTAAAAAAAAATATTTGAAAAATTTGATTTTATCATTTGATCATCATTTAATCATGATTGATAATACTGCAACAATATCATAATAAATATAGCTTTTGATTGATAAGGATTACTGATAATGAGATACTGATTCAGTATGATGTCTCTTTTAACTTATCTAAATCTTATCATCATTTTGTATGTTTTAGGTGCGACAACGATATTAACGAATGTATGTCGAATCACAGTCCGTGCCAGCATAACGGCGTTTGCGTTAACGAACCTGGATCTTTCCGTTGCGAATGTCCCGATCAATTTGTTGGCAAACATTGCGAACATTTTCGATTGATCACTTGTCAAAGCGAACCTTGCAAGAATGGTTCAACTTGTACGGATATCGTTAATTCAAAAACAGGCGATAATTTCACATGTACTTGCATGTCTGGTTTTGAGGGCACCCAATGTGATCTGCCTTATTGCCACGTTCAGGAATGTCAAAATGGTGGCACATGTGATTTGTTAAATCAGGTATTATTTTATTGATTTATCTATCTATCTTAATGTTAACCTTGTGATCCTTGACTTTCAATGATTTTGTTGAAAAAACATATTTCTATCTTTTCTAGACTCCTCAATGTAGATGTCCCCTTGGTTATACAGGACTTTACTGTGAAATAAATATAGACGATTGTGCAGCAGACGCGGATGGTAACGTGCCGTGTAAAAATGATGGTAAATGTTACGATGAGGTGAATGAATTTACATGCGATTGCTCAGGCACCGGTTATACGGGACCAGATTGTTCTATAGACGTAAATGAATGTCAAGATCCATTGACCGACTGTGGATACGGAAAGTGTGAAAACTTGCCCGGTACTTATCAATGTATTTGTAATCCTGGATACTGCGGATATAATTGTAGAATGGATGACCCTTGTATAGAAGTAAGCATTCAAACGTGTTCCTTTTTTTCCAAATATTTCAACATAATATTATAACACTTATTTTGTTAATAGAATCACTGCAAAAATGGAGGCATGTGTCGGTGCACAAGTGATGGTGGTTATCGATGTTTGTGTACTCTAGATTATACTGGACAAAATTGTACAGAGGTAAGAAAAATAATGACATTTGATTATTTGAATTTTCAAGAAGAAATTTGAACAAAACATTGTTAAGAAAACTTGTTCAATTTTTCAGTCTGGACATCAGCTTGGAAGTCAAGCATTCAATATTGCTATTATCGTAGGACCCATCGTTGGTTGTTTATTTCTTATTGCGGCGGGTTCACTTATAGCCTTATTTATGATGGCCAGAAAGAAACGTGCCACTCGCGGTACGTACAGTCCGAGTGCTCAGGAATTTAGCAATCCACGAGTAGAAATGGACAACGTGATGAAACCTCCACCGGAGGAAAGACTGATTTGAAGAGCTTATATATGATTTGATGATGATGATGATGATAATAATAATAAGTGATCACACCATGATATACGCAACCTAGTCTATCGAGTGCGTAAGTCGTTATTGTTACATTTACAAAAGAAATTGGATGATAACGAATCTTCAAGTGGCATATCATCAAACGTTTCATTGCGTTTTCTAGTCTATGCTGCTTAATTATTTCATTGGTAATTAATATCATACTATAATGGTATAAACATGTTGAAATTCTTCATAAGCTGTTAAACATAGAAAAAGAAAAAAGAGAAACGAGACAAACAGAATAACAAAAAAAAAAGCAAAAAAATACAAAGTCACTTCTCATAGAAGGTATATAGGAATAGTACAAAAAAATACGAAAGAGCAAGAAAAACATAGAAAAATGAGGCAAAGAAAAAATAGGAAGAGAAGGGTGCGCCTATAATTAAAGGTGTGCAGTATTTTACAGATTACATATTAATTTAGTTTATGCAATGTTGTTATAAATATATTACTGAAATTAGATTTTTTAACAAGAAGATAGAACTCAACTCACGACAATATAAGTACAACGCGAGTGGCGAGGAGATTGTAATAATCAAATTGTAATATATATATATATATATAATCATTGTTAAAATTGGAAACTTTAAATGTAAACTTTGCTAAAATAATGAAAAGCCTTGCTTTTCTATTTGTTTAAAGATAATTAATGATAATTATCACACAAAGTGTACTTAAGGCTGTAATAAGTGTCCTTACTATATTATATGTATAAGTGATACATAATTGCAGCATTCAAATAACGAAACCCGTCCATATATTAGTGCCTAAATTATTATAAATAAATAGAGAAAAATTCTGGAATTTTGTAACATTGAATATGTACCAACATTGGTCAAAGTAGAATATAAGAATGAATAAATGAATAACAAAGAATATATGAAAACATTTTAGCGAAAGCTGCTTCGCTATGTTATCATATATCTGTTGTTCATTTAATGTAAATAGAAAAAAATAGTTTATAAGACATCAAATTTATATTAATGATTTTGTCAATAGGATTTTATATGAATTAATACTGTATTTAAAAATTAACATAGTACTTTAACAAAAAATGTACTCTTTGGTATGTAATATTACTACTGTGACCAAAGTAACGGCGAGAATTAACTCGACCAAGAATAATGCGTTCAAAATACTTCTTATTAAATAGTAAACTATATTATTAGGTCTAGGAAAAATTCTGTCCTACGATGATGTCATTCTTTTTTGTCTCTTCACAGTGTTTTATCATTGCATTTCTAAATTTATTGAAACAATAGTGTTTCATCATCTCAGTATTGTATGAGGCAGAACTTTCCCATAGACTTAATAGAGACAAGTAAAAGAATCATCGGTATGATATACTGCGCATTTTAGACATGATGCGACATGGAAAATAATAATCTTTCATCAAAAGTCTAATGATATAATATTATATCTATCTACTATTATACTAGTTACTATAAAAAACACTGGTAACGACAACCGGTATAACACGACGTGCTATGCAAAATATTTTGATGTTAGAAAAATATCATCATAATTTCTTTCTATATGCTATGAGCATATTGGAATGAAAAGAATGAAATTTTACAAAATGAATCGAACAATTTTAGGAAGAAGAAGGAAGGAAGATGAAAGGAAATAATTTGATTTCTTATTAGACTGATGAAATGTGGATATTAAATCATTTCGTGATCGGTAAAATGCAAAAGTTTCAATCATCAATTGTACAAAAAGCAATAAAATCTCAAAAAATATAAATAATAATAATACATTTTATTATTTCATTTCTTATTCTTACATTTGCATCAACAACCGACATGATTAATACTTTGAATTGATAATCGCTTCTGACTGTGCTATTATATGCTGCTATTATAAAAAAGTTCAAAGTTGACTCTATAAAAATTAGCTACTACTTCATTGTAGATTTGAAATAAAATTAAGCTATACTTTTCCCATTGATTTTTGTTAATTTTTCACGAGATAATTTATCAAAAAATAAAAGACCTGCAGCTCTTTCAATAGTTTCCGGTGGTACCTATTATTATATGTGAAATTTCTTTACAATCGCATCACACGAATCTCAAATGAAATAATAATACTCTATATATATATATGTAATAATATATTATTTGGTATTTAAAGAAAATTTACCTGAAAACTTGTTAGAGGAGTATTGTCATCAATAGGCATATTTGGCATTACATAAGCCTCCATTTCAAAATTAGAGTTATCATTTGTCCCAACGATTACTTTATAAAAATGTGTTGGTACTGCGACATGATTTGCACCAATAACTTCATAGCGTACATACAATTTACCATCTGTACCCTCTTTTCTTAAAAAAAGATCTTATAACTTTGATTTTCTATTCATATCTTGTCTATTCATATCACATTAATATATACTTACTTTGGAATATATAATGGACCTGTACAAACATAGACATCTTTATAAACTTTAGTTAATTTTCTTACATATTTTTCTAATCTATTCCAAGAGTGACGATTAAAACCATTGCCAACTTGTGGTGCCATATTTGAAAGAAAAAATGTTTCTTCTATAAGCCCTTGGTGCATTTTATGATTTCCAGCAGCAGCTAAATGGCCACGATCATAACCACTTCCTTTGTAATCGCTGTTATCCGATCTTCATTGATGTATAAATCATAGCAGTTATTTATGAATTCATCGAGGAACAAATATATACAAATAAATACCTAAAATAAGGATGTATACTAGTATCTGGCTTAAATTCACACTTTGAACGATCTACGGTTTCATTATATTGTAATCTTTCTTTCGTTAAGTGTTCAAATACCCAATGAGCGACACGATTTCTTCTGTCATAAGATAATACAAAATCTTCATATGATCTGATATTATCATAACCGGGGAAACCAAATTTCATAATCTGTTCAAGTTAACACAATGTATCATTCATTAATTGTCAAAGAGTTGACTAACAATAATAGATTATACATTAACATTTTTTCACATTACCTCTGATACTCTTGTTGCAGTCGTAGATAATTTTGAGCCCATATTCGATTCAATATCTGCAGGTCTTGATAAAGTAGCTCCAAATACTGTGCCAAATAATGGTAAATCACTGAACATACGATTAATCTTTTGAAAAATATTTCTTCCATTGTTTTCCACAATATCAGAAGATTTTCCTCGTTCTGAATATTTTCCAGCATACCAACCACCTATGCCACTTATTACGGATAATCCTAATGCTAAGTTAACTTTCTTCATCATTTATTGTTAAGATTATTAAAATTACAAATTATTAACTTTAACTACACTATAATAACATTATTTTTTTTTCTTTTTTTTTTGTATTCATTACATGTGGCCGATTATACTTGCGCCACTCATTGGCTGAATACTGAACTAACGTTAAACGTGTATAGTAAAAGTCATACACGCTTCCACTAGAAATTGTCAATAATTAATATTTTTGTTTGAAATATAATGACAAATTTTGATTTCAATTTTATTACAGAATATTTTATGATTAGAGTAATACAATGTTACTTATATGATGAACAAAATAATCGTATCTTTTAATTATCAATTGCACCAATTGTCTTCAAATAAAATGCTCTATATAATTTTTTAAATCTATTGATAACAAATTAATGTTGAATACTGTATATATAT